AAAAAAAAAAAAGAAATGCACCAGAATGTTGGCCCTTATTGTGGGTAACGGGATTCTGAATGATTTCATCTTCTTCTTTGTGCTGTTTTCCCAAAGTAAACAGGCGTCACTATTGTGACGGGGACCATAGAAGAAAATGCACATCATAAAACCAGATCAGTGGAGCGGCCACATTCCAGGCCATGGCCCCGCTTCCCCGCAGATGTTGGGATTCTCGGTCTCCCATCCAGAATAGCTCTCAGGATGCCGCGCTGTGTCCTGCTCTCTGGCTGAACTCACAGGAGGCAGAGAAAGGAGAAGGGGTTGCGTTTCTGCTCACAAACATTGGAAATGAAGCTCAAAGCAAAGCTTCTCAGCTGAGGTTTGTCAAACTGAGTTTTCTGCGCAGGAATCCCTTCCCCGATCCCTGTGCTCAGACCTCCGACCTGTGTGTCACGCGAGGGGCCTTCCACAGATGGGAGCGGTGGGGACCCGGCACGGACGCCTGCCAGCCCGTGGGCAGCACGTCGGCCGTCCCCGCCAGCACGGCGCCTCGGCGGGCTCCTGGCCACAGTCCCCGAGTCCCCTCCACATCTGATGCACGTCCGTTCTCTTATTCTACTACCTGGAACCGTTACCTGTTGATTTAAATTCTTACACTAAATTGGAAGGCAAAGTTTTTCTTGGTTGAAGTTGAGAGATGGATCTATATCTTTTTAAAAATCTCAATGCATGAGTGGATACTTGCTCTTAAAAAACCCAGCCCCCCATAATATATACGAAGGAAGAGGCCTCCCTTCCTCACCCTGCACTCTCCCCCGGTCAACGGTCAACGGCCCAGTGTGCGCCTTTCTGCCTCCGATGATTTCCTGCTTATTCAAATGCATCCCTCTGACAGCTACGTGTCTGATCTTGTTGTAATGGTGTTTATGTTTCTATTAGATTTTCTGCAAAACTACCACAGTCCGAGGACACCGTGTGAGTATTAGATATACTGACAACAGGTCTCTGTTTCTGTCTCTCTGTTCCTCCCTTCTTTCTCCTTCAGCCTTTTACTGATTTGCGTGTGCGAGAGAGAGAGGGAGAGGGAGAGATGCCCTTTCTCTCTCCTCCCTGCTTCGTGTTAATCTCCTCCGTGGTCCTCCAAACGACCGCCGTGTTCGAGTCCCATGCACCCCGAGCTCTGGAGACTTGAAGCAGAACGTCCAAGGACGGCACGAAGGCCAAGGAATGTCCGCGGAAAACACGCCTCCTCCCACTCCGCTGAGGGTCCTTCACCCCCGGCCCCTCCCACCTCTCCAGCATCCTCCCCGCTACTCCCACCCGCACATTCTACCCACTTCGGAACCTCGTCACCTCCCCGACGCACAACTTTTTATTCCCTTCCTCTTGGCGCCGTTCACGTTTCCAACTTAATTATTCATCAGCCCCCAAACCTCAGCCCAGACGCGACTTCCTTTGTAGTCAGGAGGAAAATCACTCAGATCGTAGAGGGAGACACTGGTGAAATCACAATGACTCACCGCGGACTATATAAAGAACTCCTACAAGTCGCTTCCTCCTAAAGAGGATACACAAATGGCTGATAAGCACGTAAAAAGATACTGGCCTCGTGAGTACTCAAGGACAATGAAATTAAAGCTCAGCGAGATGCTACCACGCCCTCCCCAGCGTGGCTAAAATCAGAGAGACCGACAGTGCTGGGAAGGGCGAGGAGGAGAAGCAACAGGAACCTGTTGGGGGTAAACTGGTGCCACGAAGCTGAACTGGAGCCGGTACCCTGACCCCGCAGTTCCACGCCCGGTTTGCAAAACACGGCCACGGAGCCCCCGATGGTGGCACGTATGCGAGGAGTCGGCCTCGTGACTCGCTTCGGCCAATAAAGTGGCAAAGTGACTTTGTGAGACTTTGGAAGCGAAGCCTCAGCAGACCTTGCAGCTTCCCAGTTCGCTCTTGGAATCGGCTGCCGGGCAGAGAAGGCTGGGCTCGCCTGCCAGACGGGCGCGGAGTAGCCCAGCCACCCGCTGGAGTGTGAGTGAGGCTGTCCTCGCGGACCAGCCCAGCTGCCCCCAGACGACTGCGACTGTTTGGGGGAACCCAGATGACAGCAGGAGAAGGCACACCTGAGCCTGGGCCAAATGGCAAAAATCGTCAGCAAATAAATGATGGTTGTTTTAAGCCGCTCATTTAGGGAAGGTTTGTTCACTGCAATTGACGACTAATTAATGCGTGCGCCGAAAGACAACAGCACCGTTCGCAAAAGGTGAAAACTGGAAACAACCCATCAAGGAGAAAATAGACAAAGAAATTATAGTATTTCCATGGCCTGGATTACTCACTGCACGCCATCTTTGTATTCCCCTCTCTCTCTCTTACCCCCATGCGCACACACACACACACACACACACACGCACGCGTGCACACACACACACACACACACATGCACACACGCACGCATGCACACACGCACACATGGACACACAAACACACATGCACTCGCGAGCGCACACACACATGCATGCACTTGCGCACACTTGCGCGCACACATACACATGGACACACACACACGCACAACACAGCACACCAAAAGAAAGAACTGGACACTGCATCCTCCGGGTTCCTTGATGCTTTGCAGCCTTCTCTGTTGGAGCCTTGATCTCAGTCACCTGGGCCAGCCTCCCCCACGGGACTCCGAGCTCTTGGGCAGGAATTGTCTGTCCCCTGTCAGCTGTGCGACAGACACTTGGAACGCAGGATGCAGGCAACGGTGGGGAGAGGAGAAAGAGGAGAAGGAAAGGAAGGTGGGAAGGAGGAAGGATGGACGATCGCATTCCCTTTTATGCTTTTCATTTTCCTTCCTTCCTGCTTCCCAGGGTTTTACGACCAAAGCAGGTATTAATACGTATGCTTCTGCCCCAGACTGATGCCAGCTGCCTTCCTTGGACCATAAAATGCCCCCCTTCAAGAAGGTTCTCCCCCATTTCACAGATGAGGAAACCAAAGCCAAGACTGCAGAAGCGGCTTGTCCGTGGCCACTCAGAGACCAGTGGGTGACTCTTTGGCGATTTCTTGCAAGCTACAGTCACCCCTTCTTTCTAGTATCTACCCCCACACCGTGGGCTGACGGGTTCATACTCTTTGATCTGCCCCACGTGCTTGGCGGCTTGGCCTTTGGTTGGGTTTGGGGCTTGGGGTTGAAGGCCCCCGTTTTTCCGGTTCGGCCGTAAAATTTGCGGGTTTGGGATTGGCAGGGTTGCTTTTTGGGCCGGCCAGGTGTGCGGAGAAACAGAGAAGACAATGCACAGCGGGAGAGAATGGAGCAGACACACTGAGATGCCGAGAGGAGAGAGGGACAGAGAATTCCCCTCTCTCCTGAGTTTCAGCCGCCTTTGGAGTCCATGAACACCCTAGAAGGCTTTGAATAAATGAGCAAACTTTGTTTATGGCAGCTTGAGTTAATTTCTATTACTCACAACAAGTCAACCTCGACTAAAATACTGGCATCGCTTGCCCACGCGTGCACTCATCATCATCATCGAACCAGTGCTGACTGTCCACTCCACCTCGGTGCTGAGGACAGAGATGCATGAAGTTCAGAAACAGCTGCTAAGGTATTTGTGATCTAGCGGGAAGGCAAACGTGTATTCAAATCATAATGACATTCACGCTATGCTTGCCGTGTGCCAAACAGCGAGCTGAACGCTGGTACACGTTACGTCGGTTATTACTCACAGCGATGCTACGAGGTGGATACTATTCTTATCCCATTTTATCCAAAATGAAACTGAGTCTCAGGGAGGTAAAGTCACTCACTCCAGATCCCCGGGCAGCACGCTGTGGGGCTGGAATTCAAACCAAGGCAGTCTGACGCCAAAGCCTGTGTTCTCAGCCTCTGCGTAGAATGGCCGCTGTGAGCGCAGTGAGTCCCAGCAGGGAAGACGAGTTCAAAGCAGGGAGACGCGAGTGCCCCGAGGGGTCAGGGGGCAGCGTGGGAACAAATTCACAGGAGACAAAAATGTATCCAGCTCTCGAAAAGAAAATGGCTGGAATGTCGTTGGCCCAGAATGGGGAAGGCCTGCAAGTTCAAGGGCATTCCGAGGACTTCGTGGGTAGCAGTGGTCCTGGTGGGAGAAGGGGACGGGACGGGTGGAACAAGAAAGCACGGGAGGTTTATCTACAGAGA